GAGAAAGTAAAGTATTTTTCTCTTGCAAGATCTCAAGGTGGATTAGGCTGGTAGATTCTTGAAAATGGGAGAGTGGGACTGGAGATGAATGCTTTAACTAGAAGCACGAGTTAGGGGATGTGAGCACTAGGAGGGGATATTGGGAATTCCTGCACCTAATGTTTTAAGGGACAGGGGATTGGGGAATTCCTGTGCATGGTAGACAGCAAGCTCTTTCTCACAGGCACTGCCCAGGTCGGATTCTGCTGCAGGATGCCTGTGGAGCCTGGAGCGCATACCTATATGAAACAGTCAATGATAAGATTGTTTAAGACAAAGTACATGTGGAAGAATCATGTATAATAACAGTTAAGTGTACAAGGTCTGGAGTCACACTATTGAGATTCACAACTCAGCTTCAGCACCAAGAATGTAGATGACAATAATGCCTATGATTGGTTTGAGAATTGATACCATTTTGTTAATATTAATATAAAGAGAGTAGCACAATTATAGAACCAGAAGGTAAGCCATAAGAGGCTCACATCATGATACACGAGGCCTCTGTATTCTCCCAGCTGGGAGAATGTTTAATAAACAATGTTCGATAAATAATTGCCAAAAGAACAAAAAGTAGTTCTGTTTCTTCCATAAAAAAGCAAATTAGAGGAAGAGAGAGTTGGATAACGGAAATTCCAGACCACATTATAATCAAAAGAGAACTATTTCATGTAAGACATGGTGTTTATGTTGATCCTAAAGGCTACATATTATTTACAAAGAGAGAGAATGAGAAGAAACTCAAAGACACAACACTGTTCATAGTCTGTACCAATGTGAGACCTGCAGCAAATCCCCTATTCTGTCATTTGTTAATCATGCACCTTTGGATAAGTTAGTTCATTCTAATGAGCCTAAATTTATTTCCTTATGATATGTAGTTTTGTGAATTATATCATAGTTACAGTGTTATTCTACATTTTGATCATCGTGATAGTCTTCTCTAGTTTAAAGATTCTACGAGGAACAGCAATATATATTTGATCCACTAGATGGCAATATCTGACTTTGTAAGTGGATGTCTCTTTTGCAGATGCTTAAGATGTCTAATAATCAAATGAAAGCATATTTAAGGTTCACCAGAAAACAGAGAGAAGGGTAGACATTAATGTCTCATACTGAAGTCATTATTGAGATTTATAAAGTAAAGAGAAAGTACAAGTTCTAATCCCTTTGATTTAGAGCCACAGATGTTAAAGGTCTTGCAAAGACATTGTGGTTTTAACCCTTTACTGTCAGAGAGAGTTATTTTGTAACAGTGAAGTAATACACTGTTTTGCATGGGGTCCAATTCTTAAGCAGGTCAATAAAACATCCCAAAGACCCTCACCCTCACTCAAATATGCCAAGTTAATTATTCTTAAACTTTTAAAAATCATAAGTTCCTACATATCCCATAATACTCCTTCACTAAAAAAGATTTATTTCCTTTTCAGCATAATGGACTTTTAAAAAATAGTATCAACCTGATCAGTTTTTATTTTTTATTTTAATTTTTTTCCATTTATTATTATAAAGATGTGGGGTACAATTCAGGGTTCGGTATACAAACGTTGATTATGCAGGTACCCTTGTTGATGAGGTATTCCCCTCTCTCCCCTAGCAGTTTCCCTCAAATGCCAGTCCCACCTCCCCTCCCCTGACAGTCTCCCACTACTGCCAATCCCTTTCTTATAGTATTATGATAATTGTTCAAGGTCCACTTATGAGTGAGAACATATGGCACTCTGTTCTTTGTTTCTTTGATAGATCACTGAGTATGATCAACTCTAATAATAAGAGTATTCTTATTTTTAATGTTATGCTTCAAAAATTGTAAAGAATGGCCAGATGCAGTGGCTTATGCCTATAATCTCAGCACTTTAAGAGGCTGAGGCAAGAGAATCGTTTGAGCCCAGGAGTTCCAGGTCAACACCATGAGACCCCATCTCAACAAAAAATTTTTTAAAAATCAAGAAAGTAAGCCAAGTGTAGTGACACATGCCAGTAGTCCCACCTACTGAGGAGGCTGAAATGGAAGAATCACCTGAGCCCAGGAGGTTGAAGCTGTGATCCTGCCACTGCACTCCAGTTTGGGCGACAGAGTGAAAAAAACAAATAAAATTTGTAAAGAAGAAAATGAAAATCATATCTGGCCAATATTAATATGTTTGTCCAACTATTTTTGATAGATGACAAAGAAATATAAACACATATTTTTATCTTTTTTCAAGTTAAAAGGTTTTTAAATCTTTCCATGTTAACAAATATATTATTATATTAATGACTACTAGCATTCTATTTTTCACAGATAAAAATTTACAGAGAAAGCATTAATATTCTGAGAACAAATACCTTAATTGAAAAGTCTGGTCTTGTCCCACAATACTATTCTTTATAAAATTGACAATATTGCTCCCATTTGAAGATGAATTATGGTTAGTGAGGGACCTATGTAGAGAAAAGGAGGAAGGTAACACAACAGAACCTAACAAATGAGCTGATGAAAAATACAGGTCAGAAAAATGTTGCCAGGAAGCAAATTAGTTCAACAAACACTCAGGCATTAATTTAACAACAGTAAAAGAACACTTGACCTCTTCGGAACAAGACTTCAAGGAAGGGGCCAAGAGGAGCTCTTGTGAAAATTACATGGGTGACATGGAGAGAAGGCTAGAAGAAAAGTTAAAAGTAATAAAACAAAGATCAAAGTTGGAAGTGAGTTGAGAGAAAATAGCAGCTATGAGAGGGAGATAATTTATGTTTTTGTAGATACTCTGAGATAATAATAAATGGAACAGAAATAAACTTTCAAATAAGAATTAGAAGAAAATTTACCTAAAAAATAAAAGTTGAAACTTCAAGGTGAAAATGGACAATATGCCCCATGAAAAATGGACTCAAAGTTAGTAACAATAAGATATATGTTTATTAAGTTACTGGACTCAAAGGTAAACAAATAAAAAAGAGGTACATTTGAAAAAAAGTATTCTTGAAAGGCTTAAAGTAAAAGGATATGCCAGACAAATGAAATAAAAGAAAGAGCATCTCATTCATCAGTCAAGGTGAATTTGAAAGCAGAATAAAATTAAAATGATACCGAAAAGACAATTTTGTAAGTCAAAGGAAATAATTGTAATGAAGCTCTATTATCAATCAAATAAAATCATAAGGCAAAAATTGCCACAAAAAAACAAGGAAAGATAGAAAGAAATGCAATGATAGTAGGTGAATTACAATTTCTATAAAACCTAGTAAAAGTCACTATTTAAATATCATTTTCTATTACTTAGATATTCACAAAATAAAACATTGTCAATAAAAAATCCTATTTCAAAATATTTCTAAAAAATACAAACCATATATGCATATAAAACACATAAAGCAAATAAATATATAGTGTGCAATTAGAGAGCAGCTTTTAAAAACACCGTCTTAATTTGCAAATTCTAATCAGTATATTACATGGACTTAATAATAATCTTCCATACTCAATAATGTTCTCCAGTAAGTGAATAGGAATAAAACTCAAGAATTCACAGAGCCTACTTATGTCACTATAAAATTTGATTGCAAAGTCAAATTTGATGGTGACTCATTAACTATTTTCACCATATGTAAAAATAATCTCACCAACTTCAAATGAACACATTAAAAGAGTTAATTCCCTAAGTACAAAAAGACTAGAAGACTCATATCAGGTTCTTTCTGTGTTTGAATGGAATTGAGGCTAATCTTTTGAAGAGATAGACAGCAAAATCAGACTTAGATGATATAAAGAAATCATACTTGGTGACAAATTCACTCCATCCCAGTTTCCTTATCCTCCTTTCCCATATTCCAGCTTTCTTTGGGAGAAACTGAGTCTTTGTCCAGCCCCTTACTAGGAGCCATTTCAGTGAAAATTTTATTTATTTATTTATTATTTTTAAAATCAAGATGAGGCCCCACTATGTAGCGTAGGCTGGTCTTGAACTCCTGGGCTCAAGCAATCCTCTTGCCTCAGCCTCCCAAAGTGCTGGAATACAGGCGTGAGCCCGGAAAATTGTGTATCAAAATCAATGCTCCCTAGGAAACATGAAGAATTGACATTATGAAGACAAGAAAACCAAACTGCTAAGGGGAGACTGTATCTTTGAAGACTCCCCACTTGTCATTTCTCAGGTTGATAAAACAAAACTTGATTTCTAAGCTAGATAAATCAAAATTGCTCAGGTTGATCAATCAAAATTTTAGCTTTCCTAAAGAATTTTTCTACAATGGTTTAATAGTTTCTCTCCAGATGAACATCTATTCCACATGATAAAACAGTGACACTTGACTTACTACATAAGATATGATATTCAATTTATTAATCGTTCATACACTCTTTCTTAAAAGATACCTTTGCTGTCTTTAGCAATACTTTTAGCAAATGCTTTTTGCTTTATTATTTCAGAGAAATTGTCTTTGAATTTTAGTTTCTTTATTATAATTTTGTCTCTTTTGGCAAAAAGTTAGCTCCTTCACCATAATTTGCTCATCCCCTACCACCCATCCTGTCTCTAATACCTCTCTTTCACAATGGGGCAGGGCAATTATCTCAACAGAAGTAAATACCTAGAGGGAAGCCCAGAGAGTAAAAACACAGAAAACAAGGCAACCCAAGCAAGTATTTGTATCATAAAAACCTTCCTTTTTCCAAAATGGCCACAAAGAGGTTGCTCTTCTTTTAGGCCAAATCACTGCATATCCATCAACGACACTGACTTCTTGAAGGCAACAATAATAAGACAAATGTTCAACTTTTAACTAGTTAAATAATTATATAGATTTTACTTTGACCTAGATTAATATCATGAACTGGACCATAAGTTTCGGTTTTCTAAAACATGCAAATCAATAGAATCTATCATCTATACTTTGCAAAGAGAGTTCTACCAAATTCATCCTCCATCAAAGAAGTCCCTGAGGCAGGTAAACAGCAAAGGCAGATGACTCACAGTTGGTGATGTCACCTTGAAGCTGCAGAATCTGAGGAACTGGCATCGTGAGGACAACAAGATCAAACTGCTCGGGGGAGCCTGTTTCTCTGGAGACTTCCCACTTGTCGTTTCTCAGGTTGATCTGGGTCACACACTGTCTGAAGTAGACTTCTGCACCTGCTCCAAAACCCCAAATCATGTTCACATTATTAGGATTTTCTATGAATGCAGGGGATGTGAATAGTTACAAACTTGATCTCTTCAATGAGCTTGTCTTCTACTATCCCCAGGTTCTCTTTCCTTACTTTCTTTCTAATCTAGTGGGAATTTGTCCCCCTCTGGCATCCTTGAACTTCCCTATCAATGCCTGCTATGGAGAAAAAAATACTACCACAATGAATTATAAAACTATAGCAATAACCATAGCTATCTTTAATTAAGCAGCTACTATATACCAACCAGTAGACAGATACACAATACCAATTTATTGGACAGATAAGGAAATGTTGAAAAATGTCATGCCATGTTTTAAAACTACATCCATCTGACTAATGCTCATCATCTTTGCAGAGTAAGTATACATTTCAGTAAAAGTATTAGCAATTAATTATCTCTAATAATAGCAAGAAGAGCAATATTTCCTAATAAAGGGATTAATAGCCCCTGTTAAAGAACTTAAAAAGGTCTCCATAAGATAAATGAAAGTTCTCATCAATAGATCAATTACCTTCATTAAGAAGAATCAGAATTTAGAGAAACATAATCTAGAGTACTCTCCCATCACATTTTCCTCTTGGCACTGAACACAGGCTATTTTAATAATTATTTGCCTAATTATTTGTTTAATATTGTCTTTCCTTTTACTCTGTAAGCCTCATGAGCTATAAATTATGCCTTTTTAGCTTCTATGTATCACATATAACATATATAGCACAGAACTTGGCACATACTAGGTATTTAAGAAATATTTGTAGAAAAGAATGAATTATGAATCATAACCTCAAAGATAAGAAAGGAAAATTGGGTCACTAAGCCTCCTAAATACACTAGTACTTACTTCCCTCACATTGCAGTTTCCGTAAAACTTTTGCTTAATGAATCTATTTCTATTCAGTATCATGTACACAAAAGAAATAACTAAAGATAGAATGAGAAAATAAAAAGCATACTGAAAGATCCTGTTTATCAGTACCTGGGACACTTCATGTTCATAGTCACTAAAAATTCAGGTGAAGCCCAACCTCGTCCATGAAGCATCCTTTCTGTATCCTCTCTAGGTCAATGTGATCCTTTCCATCTATGATGACCTTCAAGCGACACTGTCTTTTCTGCTCATTTCAGCACTGATTTAAAATACCTGCATGCTTTAGTGATGTATTTTTTTCTTTTTATTTTTTTTTGAGCCAGGGTCTCACTCTGTTGCCTAGTCTGGAGTGCAGTGGCATGATCACAGCTCACTGCAGCACCAACCTTCGGGTCTCAGGCAAATCTTCTGCCTCAGCTTCCCAAACAGCTGTGACTACAGGCAAATACGACCATGTCCAGCTGACTTTTTCATTATGTATGTATGTATGTATGCATGTGTAGAGGTGAAGCGAAAACTCCCCCTTTGCCCTCTGAAGGTTCACTGAAAATCAACTGACAAACGGCAGATTAATAGAAGAAAAGGCATACAAATTTACTTGATCATAATTTTATATGACATGGTAGTCTTCAAAATAAAGACTCAAAGATAAAGGAGCAATTGTTCATTTATATGCTTAGGTTCAGCAAAGCATAGGCAGCAAAGAAACATGATTGGACAGAAAGGGTATGATCGAATGTTAACAGAATTGGCAGGGTAATTCAGCAAAGCCTCTCTGCTCATATTCTTCTTGGCCTCCCTGTAAAGTATTCCTTCCTTATGGGTATGGGACAAGACCTCTCTGGAATGGAAGTCTTATGACTTACAATCAAAAGGTTGGTCAGATGATTGGAGGAAAGGAGTTCTGATTTCTCTCCTTTTTTTTTTTTTGAGTTGGAGTCTCACTCTGTCGCCCAGACTGGAGTGCAGTGACCACTCCTGGCCACCGCAGCCTCGACCTGCTGGGTTCCGGAGATCTTTCCACCTCAGCCTTCCAAGTAGCTGGAACTACAGGCACACGCTACCACGCCTGGCTAATTTTTTGAATTATTGTAGAGATGAGGTCTCGCCAAGTTGCCCAGGCGGGTCTCGAACCCGCAGGCTCAGGCAATCCACTCACCTCAGCCTCCCAAGGCACGGGATTACAGGCTGAGCCACCGAGCCTGGCTGGAGTTCTGATTTCTATGACCTGACTTGGACAAGAGGGATTTTAGTTTCTATGGCTAACCTAAGGGGAAAATGAGAGGCCAGAGACCAAAGGGCAGGATAAAATCTGAGAAAGCTGCTTCCGAGGGGGCCTTCATTTTGCAGTATTGTTTTCTAAGTCTCTACACATGCACACATGGATATATAATACAGTTAGTAAGTACCTGAGGATTTCATTAAATATATACATTTAACTTGAGTCAAGTGATTTATCATGATGAAAATGAGATTTTTTAAAGTGATAAGCTATGGTACTATATGAAGGAGATGGTGGCACCTCACAAAATGTCCAATGGTGTCACCATTAATTTTATATATCAACGTGACTGGGCCACATAGCATCCACATATTTGGTCAAACATTATTCTGGGTGTTTCTGTGAGAGTGTTTTAGGTGAGATTAACACATAAATCAGTAGATTCAGTAGACTGCCTTCCCTAATGTCAGTGGGCCTCATTCAATCAGCTGAAGGCCTAAACAGGATAAAAAGCCTGATCATCCTGCAGATAAAGAAGAGTTCTCCCTGCCTGACAGCTTGTGAACTGGGTCATCAGCTTTTTTCCTGCCTTCAGACTAGAACTCAAACATCGGCTCTTCCTGGGTCTTAAGCCTGCCAGCCTTTGGAATGCAAGTACACCAAAGTACACCATCAGCTCTCCTGGAGTCTACCTTGCTTACGAACCCTGCAGATCTTGAGACTTACCTGCCTCCCTCATTACATGAGCCAATTCCTTATAATCAATCAATCTCTCTCTCTTACTACACACACACACACACACACACACACACACACACACACACACACACACACACACACCCTTACTAGTTCTGTTTCCCTAGAGAACTCTAATACACTGTCATAAACTGAATCTTGGAGCAATGTTCTAAACCCAAATGGCATTTATTATGTGATCATGCTGTGCCAAGAGCTGTTTAACAAAAGATGCACAGACTCACTCATAATTAAGAAAATGCAAATCAAAATCTCAAAGAGATACCATTTTTAACCTATTACGTTGGCAAGATTTTAAATGTCCATAGTACCCAGATGTGGGTAAAGAAACATTCTCATTATTACTAATGGGATACTCTTTAAGATGAATATATAGCACAACCTAGATAAATTTAAAATGCGCATATAATTTGACATAGCTATTATTCTGTCAGTAATTGATGCTAAAGATAGCCTATACAAAGCATGTCACATTTGGACATGCAACAATGTATGTATTTGCAAAAACTTAAACAATCTCCCACTCCCCTATAACCTAAATATTTACTACAAAGTGAATAAATAAGGATAGTATGCTTACACCATATAGTACTAGACACACAAAGAAAATGAAGCACATTGAATTTGCTGATATAAAAATAGACACAAGATATGAACCAAACAAGATATGGCTCATATACAAAAATCTCCTTTGTGTATATTTTTTAAAAGAATAAACATAAAAATATTATTTATATATAATATCTATATTGTAGACAGAGACAGCCATGTAGCTCAATAGACTGACACATAAACATTTTTCTGGAAGCACACACTGGAAACTGTTATCAGTGATTATTTTGGGAGAAGAAAGACTGAGTGGTAAGTAGAGCATCTACTTTTGTAATTTTCTGTATAGTGTCAATATGTAATTATTTATTAATTATTTAACTCTTATTTTTAAACACTAATTTTAAAATTTAGGCAGAGAAAATCTTAGTCCCACCTGATTCTTTCAAGTAATGCTTAATAATTGAAGAAACTCCTTGAGGTGCCACAAAGTTACAGTCTCCTTCTTTCATCATCATTCCTTTAATAGGAGAGGTCAGAGCCTTCAAAATGCTGTGAGCTAACAGTTCATCATAAAAACTGAAATAAATCAATATGTGTATATATAATGTAAATATTTACTATGATTGGCTCTAAAACACTATATTCTCTTCCAGTTTTCAGAGATTACAATTCTAAATATAACTAGAAATCTTCCTATGATCAACTAAATATACATTTTGTGCTAAAACTTGTAATACAGATAAAGAACAGAAACATTTAGACTCCATAGGTCTTTTGCTGACATTAGCCAAAATCCCATTTCTCCATAAGTATATTTAAAAAGTAAACTTTATTAAAATAAACAACGCATTAATATTTAGTATACAATATTAAATTGGGTTAAAAAAACTGACTTCCATCGCAGCTAGTTGTCCTCTGCCATAACACCAACATGAGATGTATTAAGCTCACAGAATGTTCTATGTATCATCTCACATAACCATGTAACTGTCATAGCAACCCTATGAGGTAGGTGTTATAGTTTCCTACTTTACTCAGATTAACTTTTTACTGCTAACACCATCAACAATGATTATATAATAATTTAAAGTTTATCCCTGTCAGAAACTGGTGATCTGTATCTTATTTACATCATAGAACTACTGAGATTGATTCCACCCCTTGCAACTAACTCACCTTTGGTGTTTTTTGGCATAATGAGGCGTGCAGGTGATATACTGAGCACCCAAGTCAGCTGTGCACTGTGGATTGTGAGGACTGCTGGCTGTAGTCATTCTTCCCCCTTTAATTAATCCAGAGGAAAAGGTATTAGTGCATTTCAAGGAGACACTGCAACTAATAACAATTCACCCCAGGTAATCCTAAATGGATTATTTTAAAAATATACTAAGAAACACTTTTTACACTGCATTAAGAAAATAATCATGAATAATTGAATAATGCAGCCCTACTGCTTGTGCATATATTTAGTAAAAGGAATCAGTGAATTGACAAAAATAAAACACAACTATGACGATGCCCACTTATGCACCTAACGCTGAAACGTACCCCACATCTTTAAAATGTAAAAAAAAAGAAAGAAAGATGAATCAAGTGTAGAATGAACGCATCAACTAATACTCCATTCATGCAGTCAAGTTTCATCAGAACGATAGGATTCTGCAAACTAGATCTGAAAGTCTTAGTCTATGAGCGCTTCAGGATGCTCATAATATGAAGAAGCCTGCAAAGGCAGAGACAGAGCAAGACACAAATCCATTTATTAGGGACAGCGGTAATCCAAACCGTTGCCAACTCAAGTAGGGCTCCCTGCCACCCTGCCCGCTCAGGCCTCCCAAGGAGGACTTCCCGGCACTCCGGCCTCCTCCCCCTCCCGCCCGCGGCGGCGGAAGTCTCTAATCACGTGACGTGGCGCGCACCGCGCATGCGCCACGCCCCGGCGCTCGGGGATACCGGGTCTCCGGTTTTTTTTTCCTGCTCAGACGCTCTCTCCTGCGTGGGCCCGTGCCACCCCAGAAGCCGGCCCGGCGACCCATTTCCCCAGGTTCTGGCCGTTAGACAACCCACCTGAGTCCCCAGCCTTGTCCCACACCGCGAGGTACAACGGACCCCGCGTCTCCCTCCTCAGCAGCGCGGCGCACAAGCTCCCCGTGAGCCCGGCGCCCACGATCAGCACCCGCGCCATGGCGGGAGGGAGCCCCGATCGGCTTCGCGTCTGCCGGGCAGGCCGGTCTGGGGCTCGTGGGGCCGCGGCCGAACCCTCTCCGGCCGGCGCGCTCTGGGGCCCGCGCGCTCCGGTCCCCGGCCCGCGTCTGCGCGGTGCCCCCGGCCGGCCTGCAGGGGGCGGAGAGGAGGCCACCGGAGCCAGGGGTCGTCGCCCAGAGAGGAGCACTCCTAGGCGCTGTCCCCTCGCCGCGGGGGAGCTCGAGCTGGCTGCCGTGGCTGCCGGGGTCGCCAGAGGCGTTCCGACCCCCCGTCTGCCCCCTCGTCCAGAGAAGCCTGGAACGCGTGTAGGTTAGAGGGGGAGAACCCGCCTCGCCACACAGCTGGTGTTGACTACGGAAGAGAAGCAGCCTAACCTGACTGCAGGGATGTCTAGTCTGTGCCTGTTGGAATCTTTGCTACCTTTTTTTTTTTTTTTTTTTT